AGCATAGCACTCTACCGAGTGTTACAAACTAAGACTCTGTCTCAAGAAAAAAAAAAAAGTTAGCAGCTTCCAGGGTTTTGATAAGTGTTTTTAATTTTGAGCTGAATGGTAGCCAGATTCCTGGCAGAAGCATCAGCTGGCTAGGACTGTGTTCTATCCCAGAGGTAGCTGTTGGCAATAGCATCTTTCCTTGGTCAAAGGCCTTAGAAGTATAATATATAACTTGTGTTAACACAGTGGAGGGTGGCATTTTCCAGACCTTTAGTTCTATACCACAGAAGACCTCAAACCTCAATCATGGTTCATACTCACATTAAAGTAAAGTGCATTCTAATTGGTAATCAGTGCATAAAGAACCAAAGAAAATTTTAATTAAATGCTGTCGTGTGAATTTTCCAGTCATTTTATGCCTGTTGAAATGGCTTTTTAAATTTAAAGCCCTCTTCTTGTCCTCTGCTCTCCCTCTTCAGACTTTATCAAGATTTTATGCTTTTTCCTAAGTAAGGATTTAATTATCATCATTAAAGGTTTAGTCTGTTGCACGTTTGCTTAACAGGTATTTTTTTTTCCTTTTTTTTATTTTTGAGACAGAGTCTCACTATGTCACCCTTGGTAGACTGCTGTGGCATCACAGCTCGCATCAATCTCAAACTCATGAGCTTAAGCACTTCTCTTGCCTCAGCCTCCCAAGTAGCTGGGACCACAGGTGCCTGCCACAGTGCCTGGCTATTTTTTTGTTGCAGTTGTCATTTTTATTTAGCTGGTCTGGACTGGGCTCCAACCTACCGGCCTTCAGTGCATATCGCTGGCACCATAACCATTGTACTATGGGCACAGAGCCTGCTTAACAGGTATTTTGATGTGGTGGAAAGAGCTTGGATTTTTATAGACCATGGGCAAGTAACTTAAATCTCTCTGAGCCTCACTTCTTCATCCTGTAAAATGTGGCTATATTACTTCCTTCTAGGGCTGTTGGGAAAGGAATTGATGTAATATATTTAAGTTGCCTAGTATATAGCTCAGTTTATAGAAGTTGCTACATAATTGGTACAAATTATTCTCTGAAGTTATAATAGGGTCTCTTTTACTTAGGTTTCCCTTTTTGTCTTATTCTTTTTAGTGGAGGTTCCCAAGGATTGTCTTCAGTCATGGCCTTGGGATTAAAGTGCTTCCGTGTGGTCCACCCTGCCTTTCGCAATTACCTTGCAGCCTTGACCAGACCTGTTTCAGAAGTTACGCTGAAGACTGAGAGTGAAAGACAACGTGATCATAGGCAATGTATAGCCTTTTCATCTGTCCCGGTCCGCCATTTTGCTACCAAGAAAGCCAAAGGTAGAGACATACGACCTCCTCTCCATACCCCTTTTTTATACATATATTTGGCCCTTCAATTACCATAGCTGGCAGAGGTCTCAGAGATGTGCTGGATTTCTCCTTTTGCCCACACGAGGAAATGGTGTCTCAGGTAGTTTAGTTACTGCTTAAAAGGTCACAGTGGCAGAGACAGCATTAGGACCCAGGGCCTATTTTCTCATTACTGTCTTATTCATTTTCTTGATAGCTCAGAAAATGCCTAATTTCTTTCTTTTAGGTTTAGAATTAGAGGTATAAGTGCCAAGAAAACCAGAATGCTTGTGGCTGGGATTACTATATTCTCTCCTTATGGGAGGATGCATGTTGGAAGTATAATGAAAACCAGAAGATTGTTGGGTGAAGGGGGTATTAGAGCCATGGATTTAGATGGATGATCTTAATGGCTTGTGTCATCTAAGAATGAGACTTTGATGTACCACAGGTCTCAGCTTAAATACCACTTCCTCAGGGAAGCCTTCCCTGACCTCTTAGACTAGGTCAGGTCCCCTGTTACCTGCCCTTGTGCATACTATTATTTTACCTTTGATGCATTTAGAACAGCAGTAGTTAATATTAATTAATTGTAAAATTGATTATTGTTTGTTATCTCTCTTACATGCTGGGCTGGCTGAAGATAGGGTTCTATGTCTTTCTTATTTAACGTCTAATGGGGTCTGACATATAGTATATATTCAAAAATTTTGTTGAATGAGGGGCAGAAAATTGTCAAGCAGACTGCCTATTTATAGTGGTGGGTCAAGGAGTCCATTCCCAAAGATAGTGTTAGATATAAGCTGCTAAATATTTTCCCAGACTCTCTTTTTCTGATTCCATACAGATCTTTCCCTTTCTGTTAATAGGAAAATTAACAAGTTGATGAAAGAACATTAATGCTTAGAAGATTATGTTCTGTTAATAGTGAGAGTAGTAGTAACTTTTGATCTGTATGTTGCATTATATTCTTTAAAAGTTCCCATACATTTACTAATTTCATCCTTCTAATTATCCATTGAAGGGATATCATTTCCAGGTGAAGAAATCCTTATAATTATCTAGTGAATCCATATCTTATCATTTTGTAAATGAGGAAACTGAGGTATGCTTGTGAGAAATTTGTCTTTGGTCATATCTAATTAGCGGTAGAACCAGAAACCAGACTTGTGATGCCTGCAGTGCTGCAGTCTTTCAGTGAACTAGACATTAACTGCAGCATAGAAGCAGCGTCTTTTGATGTTTTGTGGGCTATTCAGTTTTGTATTCTTAATTGCCTCTTTAAGAAGTTGATGGTTTGACTTTTTCTTTCAGATGCATTGGATTCTTTCTATATTAGGGACGCTACTCTTTTGTTGATTGTACATGTTACAAATATTTTCTTTGCTTTTTACTAATACTTTTTTAGTGTCTTTGCTGGACATGGTTTTAGTGTAGTCATATTTTTCAATCCTTTATCATTTATGGTTTTTGTGTCTTCTTAAAGAAATCCTTCCCCATCCAGTAGTAATTTATTTCTGATTATCATGTGAGATAAGACATCAAATTTTAGCTTTCTTTTCCATACGGGTAACAAGTTGTGCCAACATCATTTATTGATAAGCCATTCTTTGGTCACAGGTTTGTAATGCCCCCTCTGTTGTATGTCATGTTTCTTTGGATGTTGTTGGCTTTGTTTCTGCATTCTTGATTTTGTTAAACTACTTAGCTCTCTCTGTACTAACTTCCTTATTGCTTGAATCACTGTCAGAAAGTCCCTCTACTATACACAAACACTTTTTTTTCTTCCTTTTTGCTCTTTATTATAAAATTTATGATTGTATGGTCAAGTTTTCTCCAGCAGGATCTTACACAGTGTTTTCTTATTTTTAAAAAAATTTTTGAGATGGTTATTCACTGTGTTGCCCAGGCTGGTCCCAAACTCCTGGGCTAGGGTGATCCTCCTACCCTTGCCTCCTTCGTAGCTGGGCTTCCAGGCACACGCCACCATTCCTGGCATGCACAGTTCATAATCAGGTTTATTTCTGGGGTATCATAATATTTTTGTAACTTTTATATTTTTTTTAAGTTATATATACAGAAAAGTACATATTTAAATCATAAGTTTATGGCTCATTGAATTTTCACAAAGTGAACACAATCATGTAACTGTCACTCAGATCAAGAAGTAAGATATTGCTTGTACTCTGGAAGCTTCACTCCTGTTTCTTTCAATTGTCACTCTTCCACTGTGATAGATAATATACTATATTTGACAGATAATATACTATTTGATAAGTAATAAACTATATTGATTTTAATACCACAGATTAGTTTTTGAACTCAGTATGGATTCTTTTGTGTCTGGATTCTTCTGCTAACAGTCTCTGAGGTTTGTCCCCATTGTACGTTTAGCAATTGTGCATTTTTTTTTTTATAGTGTTCTACTGGAAGTATATACCACAATTTAGGTATTCATTCTGCAGTCGATGGACATTTTGGGTTGCTTCTAGTTTTGAGCTAAAACAAAGAATGGTACTGTGAACATTCTTGTACATATATTTTGGTGCACTTACATATAAATTTGTCCCCTTCCCCTCCTCTCCTGTTCCCATCTGTCTCTTTCTCTGGCTAGATAGGGGCACTAGTATAATTGAGTAAGTGTGATTGGTGATAATAAACATTCTTGTTTTATCCCTGACTTTATAGGGAATAAGCATTTCTTGTGTATGTTAACATCAAGAATTATGTTTTCTTTGCTTTTAGTAGTCTTTTTTTTTTTTTAAGACAGAGCCTCAAGCTGTCACCCTGGGTAGAATGCTGTGGCATCACAACTCACAGCAACCTCCAACTCCTGGGCTTAAGCAGTTCTCTTGCCTCGGCCTCCCAAGTAACTGGGACTACAGGCGCCCACCACAGAACCCGGCTATTTTTTGGTTGTAGTTGTCATTGTTGTTTGGCAGGCCCAGACTGGATTCAGACCCACTAGCTCTGGTGTATGTGGCTGGCACCTTAGCCACTTGAGCTACAGGCACCGAGCCTAGTCTTTTTTTTGAGACAGAGTCTCACTATGTTGCCCTCAGTAGAGCACTATGGAATCACAGCTCACAGCAACCTCAAACTCTTGGGCTTAACGATTTTCTTGCCTCAGCCTCCCAAGTAGCTGGGACTACAGGCACCCACCACAACACCCAGCTATTTTTTGTTGCAGTTGTCATTGTTGTTTAGCTGGCCTGGGCCGAGTTCAAACACGCCATACTCGGTGTATGTGCTGTGCTACGGTGCTGAGCTGTTGGTAGTCTTTTTTTTTTTTTTTTTAAACAGGAGCCTCAAGCTGTCCCCTTGGGTAGAGTGCCGTGGCATCTCAGCTCACAGCAACCTCCAATTCCTGGGCTCAAGTGAGTCTTCTGCCTCTGCCTCCCAAGTAGCTGGGACCACAGGTGCCCACCACAATGCCCGGCTATTTTTTGGTTGCAGCCGTCATTGTTGTTTGGCGAGCCCGGGCTGAATTCGAACCTGCTACCTTGGGTGTACATGGCTGGCACCTTAGCCACTTGAGCCACAGGCGCCAAGCCTGGTGGTAGTCTTTTAAACAACCTTCTATCCCCATTTTTCTGGAAATTTTTCAAATGGGTCTTAAATTTTAATCAAGTGCTTTTGCTGCATTTGTTGTCATGATCATATTTTTTTCTCTTTTAATCTATAAATGTGCTGACTCTTATCAATAGCTTTTTCTGATGTTAAACCACTTTTGCATTCTTAGTAAGAGCCCTTACATATACATAATCTGTATATATGTTGCTGGATTTGATTTTCTATTATTAATTTAGAATTTTCAGTCTATATTTATATTTGAGATTAGCCTTAAAGTAACTTTCTAATATTGATAGGCATAACTTTCTAGTATTATTCTGTAATTTTGATGCTGAGAATGTATTAGCTTCATAATGTGAGTTGGGAAGTGCATCTCTATTTCTTTCTTAATGGGATAATCTTTAAAAATCAGGATTATCAGTTCCTTAGATTTTTTATTTTTGTTTTGGAGACAGAGTTTCATTCTGCTGGTTAGAGTGCCCTGGCATCATAGTTCATGGTAACCTCAACTCTTGGGCTTGAGCCTCCCAAGTAGCTGGGACTATAGATGCCTGCCACAATGCCTGGCTAGTGTATGTGTGTGTGACTTGCTTTATTGCAATATTTGCTTCAGTGTAGTGGTCTTGAACCAAGGCCACAATATCTCTGAGGTATGCTTATACTACATGTATTCTAAATAAATTGTAACAAAAATTCATGTTACTAAAATAGAGCAGCATAATGAACTTCATTGAATTAATATATAGTACATCATATTCCAGGACATTATTTTTCTTGAAAATTATTATTATTATTTTCTTTTTACAAAGCAAAAAATTATATAATTGAACAGAAAAAAACATTTTTACAATAATTGTTGAGAGTTCAATATCTCACAAGAGATAAGTGAGAAAATAAAGGACTTAAATACTACAATAAACCATCTAGATCTGACAGACGTATACAGACTCCTCTCCCAGACAACAACAGCAAACACATTCTTCCCAGTACCCCTGGGATATTTTCCAGGATAGACCCTATGTTAGGCCATAAATTAAGTTCTAATAGATTTTTTTCTTCTTTCTTATTTATTTATTTATTTTAGTTTTTTGAACCAGGTTACATTGATTGCATTTGTTAGGTAAAGTCCCTCCTATAATTGTGTCCTGCCCCCAAAAGGTGTGTCACACACTATGACCCCCCCTTCAACCCCCTTCTGACTTCCCTCTCTCTGCTGTCCCCTTTCTCCAGTGTGTACAAGGTCATTAATTGTCCTCATATCAGAATTGAGTACATAGGATTCTTGTTTCTCCATTCTTGTGATGCTTTGCTAAGAATAATGTGTTTGGCTTCCATCCAGGTTAATACAAAAGATCTAAAGTCTCCATCTTTTTTAATGGCTGAACAATATTCTATGGTATACATATACCACAGTT